TTTTTTTTTTTTTTTTTTTTTGGTACTGGGGATTGCACTACACTACATCCCCAGCCCTTTCTTAATCTTTAAATTTGGAGACAGGACCTTGCTAAGTCTAAATTTCCCAGTTGGGCTTGAATTTGAGATCTTTCTGCCTCAGCTTCCCAGATTGCTGGTTTTCAGATGTATGCCACCACACCCATCTCCCGCTGAGGGTCTGACTGCAGTTAAGAACTGGAGACACCCACTGAAAAAGCCACTTGACTTTTCTGAACCTGTTTCCCCATCTCCGAAGTGGGAATCATAGTGGCCTTACCTCATGGGGCTGTTTGAAGGCTTAAGGAGAGCATCCACGTGAAGAAGGTCTGGCACCCCCTGAATACTCAAACATACTGGCCTGAGTGGGTTTGTATTGAGTAAGAGCGCTCTCCTAGTGCCATGCTCCTGAGCAGCAGGACTCCAGGATCTTGCTGGTAGAGTGGAAATCCAGAATCTTCCCCACTTTTTTCGGACTGAAATCTCCCTCAGCACACAAGAGGATAGATATCAACTTCATAAGTGACACAGCTTCCATTGCCTGTCACTAGTGGAATACAGTGCTCAGGAGGCAACAAGCTCCCTGTCACTTCAGGTATTTAAGAAGATGTTAGTATCTCACCTCTCCAGCCTCCCCGGCAATCACTCATTAGGTACATGTTTATTGAGTAATCACTGTGTGCCAGGCACTGTCTTGGAGCTGGGAGATGCCAGCCACTAAGGCAGAGGATGTCTTTGCCTTGTCAGGGATAGGAGAGCAGGAGCCCAGTTCTTAGTGAAAATTTGTTCCAGTCTCCGGAGCCCCCTAAATTCTTGTCTTTCCTTTGGGTTTGAGCTGAGTCCCATTGTCTGTTTGTCCTTTCTCCTAGCCTCATACTGTCTGGCTAGGTAGCAATTAGCCATGTGTGGCTCTGTAAATTTAAATGAACTAAAATTAAGTAAAATTCACAATTCAGTTCCTCACTGATACTACCCAGATCTCAAGTGCCCGGTGGAGCCGTAGGTGGGCAGCACAGACAGACCACTTCCATCATTGCAGGGATTTCCTCTGGGCAGGGCTATCTTCAACTTGGAATCTATTGAGATCTTGAGATAGAAGCCAATGCTATGTAGATCACAGCAGATTTGCTTGGGATACTAGAAGCTTTAAAAGAGAACAAGGAGTTTTCAGGATGGTTATTGACAGAGAGAAAGGAAAGAAGACAGAGAAGAGGATGGAAACAGTGTTTAATTGCTCTTTATTACACACCTGTCTCTCTACTTGTGTCAACTGACACGCTCCCCATGCAATGTAGATAGTGTTTGCCCATTTTACAGATGAGGCAACAGAAGTTCAGATCAGTTAGGTAGCTTGCCAGTCTCACTATAGAAGCTTAGCCCTGGGCCCTTTTTCATCCCAACCTATTGTCTTCTGCATATCCTACATGGACTAGGGGCACAGGCCTGGTGGCTGGGCAAGTTAGGGTTAAGGCTGGGAGACAGTGAGCTCTCCCCTCTCTCCTCTCTGACCTATAGGTGACACTCTACAACCCACAGCAGATGGGCCAGCAGATCTTCCGCTCTTCCTGCACCCCCCTGTTGAGCTACATCCCCTTTGTCCAGCCCAACTACCCGTACGCACAGAGGACACCTCAAAAGCTGCCCAACAATCCCCGAGACCCTCCCCCCATGGCAGGAGATGGGCCGCAGTACCTCTTCCCCCAAGGATACGGGTGAGTCCTGTCACCTACATTGGAGGCCCTTTTTGTATCTGAAGAGCTTTAGGAGAGGGGAGGCCAGCAGGTTGGGCTCCATGGATCCTTTCTTGGTCTGTGTATCCCATGGCTGTGGGAGGGTCTTGTTCGGTGACCAGAGGCTGGTGTGGAGCTGAGCAGGCTCTGTGGGTCCATTTTGGGCTGTAGCACTACATACAGTCGGACTGCAGAACTACACCTGCCATGGCAGAAGCAAAGTCACCCCACTCCGTGGTCAGTGGCCAGCAGCGGGGCATGACACAGTGCTCATACCCATTTGCTTAGTTTACAACAGGATGTGGCTGGGTAATCTTCTTATGCTTTTATTCCCCACTGGCTGTACTCTGAGTCCTTCCCAGGCAAATGTCTTGAACATCCCCTTGACTTCCCGGATGGCCTGCCTAAAGGGTCTTGATGGCCTACTACTGTTCACATTTTTCCACCAAAGACTCCCAAACACTAGATGAGAGAGATGTGCATTTTCTGGGACAATCTGAGGGCTTAGCAGAAAACACCCAACATAAACTTAAAATTTTAGCTGAAAATTCTACCCAAATTTTGCGTGTTGTTTAATTGTACATTTGTTTGTTATATAACATTAAATAGCACTCATTCTCACCCACCAAATCTTCAGTTAGTATTGAATATCCAAGAAACAGGTGGTGCTGTGTCATTCCCATAGGTCCAAGTTTCCCAGCATTCCATGGGACACATGTGCCCCGGGGTTGAGAAACTCAGGTTCTAGGATTAGGACCAAACCACTCAACCTAACATCGATTCCCACCCGCCTACCTTCCCCATCACAGATGTTCTCTGTGGGGTCCGCTGCGTATCCCCAAATGAACATCCTTTTCATCAGCATTTCTCCAATATCTTGTTAAAAGGGAAAAATGCTAGAAAAACATTTCCGTGGTCAGATCTGTATGGGAAAAGCGGTGAGAAACAAAGATAAACAGATTTCTTAACTGTTGGAATTCTCAGATCATTTAATTTTCTAGGATGTGTGGGGAACGTTCAAGAAGGTGGTCCATAGTGTTCTTTGAACATGATAGCCACAACCCTGTTTATCTCTTTCTCTCCTGCCATTCCTCCCTCCCTCCCTTTCTTGTTTTGTAGAATTCATCATGGTATATTTCACCCAACACACCCTAGGAAGTACTGTGTTAATTTCTGTAGTCAATTTGAATTTAGCCTGCAGGGGACCCACAGATGAATGGTACCTACTTCCTCTCTTCAAACAGAAAATAGCAGATGAAAGGTGGACCCAACACTGTTAGTGCCCTGGCAAAAGAAAGACCAAGGAGGTAGCCCTGAGGTCAGAGGAGGAGCCCTGCAGGGAGCAGTGAGGGGAGGAGGGCTCAACGGGCAAGGTGATCTGGGCTCTTAGGTGGGAAGGGGCTGTGCGCTGGAAACTTGGGAATCAAGGCTTCTGGCTGGAGTGTCAGATTTGTTTCGGAAAAAGGTGGAAATTAGGATTGGAAAGGGGAGGTTAGGATTGGATTATTTAAGACTTTTGGCTGTTAAACCTGGGGAGCCAAAGATTTGTGCACTCCGAGTGAATGAGGGGTGGAAGAAAAAGAAACGAGAAGAGAGAATGGGAGAAGAAAGAAATGATGTGGTCTGGAGAGGACCGTGAGGGGCTGCACAAGAAGTAATCAATGGCCTCTTACCTGGAGGCCGGAAAACATCCCATACTATGTGGACCCAGGAGAGCTTCCCTTGGGAGGGAGGGTGGCCCGAGGTCTTCATTAGGTGCAGGAAGCACTGACCAGCAGCAGTAGGAGTGGAGGCAGGTTGGGTCTGCTCTTTTCTGCATGTCTGCAGAGGGGCAGGGAGAAGGGAAGAAGGAGTGAGACTGAGAAAGGACTGTTGGAGAAGCAGGAAGAAGGCTGGGGACAGCCGGAGAATCTGAGGAGTGGCAGTCAGAGGGAGGAACGGTACCCTGAGAGGTTAGGGAACCTGGGACAATGGAGCCAGAAAAGTGACTTCAAGGGGTGTTGGCCTGCGTCACCCCCCCAAAAGATGATCTGTGCATCGTCAGAATACTGAGTTACTTTTGGGTATGTCCCTGCCCTAGGCACTGAGGCTCTGGAATGAACAAGTCAGAGTAGTTCCTCCTCTCCAGGAGTTTGCACTCTTGGAGGGAAATGAACAATAAAGAGATAACCAAGTAAACGTGAAACAACAGGTGCTGGGAGAAGGGGAGGAAGAACGGAAGGAGGTTTCTTGTGAGACAGAATGAAACATGCACATATATCGGAAGAAGAACTTGGGGCAGAAAGCATAGGACATGCAGAGGCTCCCAGATGGCAACATCTGGATTGTGCACAAAGAGAGAAGGAGAGAAAGGGCAGAACTGAAATCAGAGATGCTGCCAGAGCCAAGTAGATAGGACTTGGTAGGCAGGGCAAGTTTTCTCTTAAGAGCCCGGGAGAGCCATGAAGCCCTTTAAACGGGTGAAGATATATTCTGATTTTTTTCTGATCATGTCGGCCAGTGCATGAAGAATGGACCATATAAGTATGAGCTGGTGCAGGGAGTACATCAGGAGCCTTGAATGCTGTCCAAGAAAGAAATGCTATGGAGTTATGAGGGTGGTGACCCTGGGACGGGAGTGAAATGAAATGATCTGGGATATTCATTTTCCTGGGATCATTGATTGGACTTGATGACAGTTAAGGGTCCAGCACAATTTGTGGATTTAGACTTGTATAAATAAATGAGTGTCAGTGCCAAAAACGCTAAGGTCAAGATGATTGGAGCAAGGATCTGTTTATTAAGAGTTCAATCTTGGCCATATAAACTAGCAGATGCTTGTTAGACAGATTGATATAACTGTGAATGGGAAGTTGAACGTGGGAGTCTAGAGGTCAGGGAAAAGGTTGGGGCTTGGAATAAATTTGGAAATCATAGGCGTATACATGATATTCAAAAAGAGGGTTAAGTAGTGCGTGTATAGAGAGAAGAGGCCCAAGGGTTGAGCCCTGAGGCATCCAGCAAGTGGTAAGGTTGGAAGATGTAGCAGAACCAGCAAGGGATCTAAGACAGAACCTCTACAGAGAGGGGTGGAACCCTGGAGACTCAGGAAGGGACCTGGAAGCCAGGTGCAGGAAATGTTTCCTGGAGGAGAGAACGAGAGATGGGAGAGTAATGAAGAGAAAACTCAGGCCCAGTAGGAAGGGACGCAGGGAGCATGGAGCAAGGTGGTGGAGCTTCCGAGGGCTTATGAGAGCCTTGAAGGATGGCACACAACCCAGCTGAGGCTGCACAGGGTAGGAAACACTGCAAGGGCCACAGTGGAGCGTGGGACCCAGAAGACGGTCAAGGAGTGTCAGCAGAAAGAGAGCAAGAGACAAAACCGCATGAAGTGAGGGAAGCAAGGGGGGAAAAGGAGCAGAAGCATTGCTCTGCACACCTTCCTCAGGGTGGGACAACTGTGCAAAGTGTCTACATTTTGCAGTTAAAAGGAGCCTGAGTAATAGTCACACAGAAAACAGCATAGTGGGTGCCCCCCCACCTCCTCCTCCTTTCCTTCTTCTTCCCCCTCCCCCACCCCCTCCTTCTCTAGGAGCATCCTTGGCAGCTCTATCACACAGATCGGTCCTTCTCCAGACCCTCAACTTTACCTGTCCAGACAGGCCCTTGGCCCTTGGCCCTTGACCCCATTAAAGGCTCTCAACATGGAGCAGCTAGCTGCATGAGGTGTGGCAATCAGATAGGAGGTTTGTTATGAGCAATTAGTTCCTACAATTGTTGTCGCCTTTATTTTATCTAACTGAGTGGAATTCAGGGTTGTCCTTATAATAATATCACTTTCAATCATTTATTTTCCAATAGGACTTTTGAAAGAGAGGAAAAGAGTGTGCCTACTTCATGCTAGGTGTTGGACTGGGTCTGAATATAAAATGGCAAACAGCCCCAGTGCTGTTCCTGCTCTTGTGGAACTTATTTTAGTGAGAAGGGACTGAAACATAACCGAAGCCTAGCTGGTCCAGGGATGTTCCTAGAGACAGACAGATACCGTTTGTTACCAGCCGAGGCGTTCCAAATTAATGCAGTGTTCTGTTTCCGTTGCCTCTCCTCTCTTCTCCCCTGTTCTCCACCCACCCCGCCTTTGTTGTTTTATCAATTCAAGGGAGACTGCCTCAAACGTGAGTCTGTTCTGTATTATGCATCTGCCCAGCTGAAAACTGCCCAGCTGAAAACTGACCGAGAATCCCCAGATTAGACAAAATCTAGCTCTTTGCTCTGTTGCAATTTGTTTTGAGCTCCGTTGCCATTCATTTAAAGAATCCTGGCAGATGTGTGAAGAAATTGCAATGGAATCCCAGAAGTGGGAGTACTCCATCCCATCTGGAGAGGTCAGGGAGGGCTTCACATAGGAGATGGCTTCTGAGCCCACTTTTGCCGTATGAATAAGAGTGTGCTGGGAGAAAAGGCAGAGGTGTGTGCATTTTTTCTCTTCAAAGCTGAGGCTGCCATCTTCTAGACCCTTCCTTCTCTTAGGGCCTAGCAGGTGCTGACTGATATCTCACTGTTTACTTTCCTTATTATGTTGAAGCGGAGGGCCTGGTTTAGGCAGGGGTTATTTATGGAGGAAGCCTCCCTCTGGTTGTGGATCTAACGCCAGGCCCGCGCCCGTGTTCTCTGGTGTTGTCCACACATTTAGTCTGCTGAGGTCACAGGCACACAGGTAAGGTGCTCGGCTCTCCAGAGACTTCCTGCTCTGTGATTCTGGCATGGACAGAGCTTAGGTCCTACAGAAATAACCTTTATAAGCTTGCAGGGGTTTCCTGCTCCAAGTTAGTGGCACTAGAACCTCTTCATTGTCCTCTAATAGTGTCATTTTAATGTTTTGTTTTCCCAAGACCAAAGTTTTTCTTTTATTACTCTAAAGCTTTTAGCCTCCAAGCCCGTCACGGTCTTCACAATCTTTGACAGTGGCAAAATTAATATGTAATGTTTTTCTATCCTCTCCAGTAGTATCAGGAGTTTGATCATGACATCTATTCTCCTCTCTTTCAGGTTCAGCTCAACGTCTGGTGGGCCCCCAATGAACAGCCCTTATTTTTCCTCCAGTGGGAATGGCATAAATTTCTAGACTTCTTTTTTTCCCCTCCTTCCCCTTTAGCCCTTGGATCAAGTCTAAGGGCTCTGAAATTCTGGATTGTACAGTAGCTTGGTATGAAGTTTGGAAAGCCAAGGTTCAGACCAGGTCGTGGACAGAAAACAGCAAGACCAGATTCATTGAACGACCATCTCTTTGCCACACCTGCAGCCCCTTTACACACAGCACAAGCCAAACGCATACTCTCCTGTTCACACTCACTTGCTCAACTACACAGGCACCTGTATTTCACTAACACGAGTGAGTTTTGTTTCTGTTGTTGTTGTTAAAATAGGAGTAAGGCACTTACTTTTAGAAAGTTTGTATTTTATGATAAAACTCTGCACTGCTTGAAATGCATGTGCCTGTTTATTTTTGTTATGATGCATGTATTCTTTACTGCTCGTTTCCCCTGTGAAACTCCACTTTTCCTCAGGACATAAAAAGTCCACGGGTGGAGTCTTTGGAATATGCTGTCTAAATGTGGGACCCTAGGAATCACAAGATTGAGGACTTCTCTCTTACTCCTATGATCCATTCACTTCCCGACACCTCACTTTGTGCATCCCGCTTTCTGGACATCATGAAAAGAATGAACTCACCCCCTTCTATTCCAAGTGGAGACTTTACAGAATGAATCTTTTAGAAACAAGAAGTATAGATGTAGCCTGGAACACAATGTCAAAATGAACCTAAATGACAAACTGTATCTAATACTGTAGATCAGTGTCAATCCAGAAGTTAACCTCAGTATTGCACCTCATAGCACCGTCCTGGATCTGACTTGTCTGCCTCTTATCGATGACTTGAGTAACAACAGTGACAGCATCCTGATCACATTTATGGAGTGTGCACATCCGGAGATGGGAAACTGAACACATTGTGATAGCACACATTCTTTAACTCTCTTAGTCTAAGCCCACAACAGGCATTCCCTCCCTCTCTCTTAGCCTGGAGAGAGCCACAGAAGCATTCTCCCTAGGCGCCCCAGGCACCTATCACTGACCAGAGTTGGTCTGTGCAATGAAATCCATGTGCTATTCCTTAACAAACACTAACAAGATGCCATGAAACAAATGCGAGTGTATGTAGTATACACTAATGTTTGTACAGATGCTAGTGGATACACCCTCTGTGCAAAGAATGAACTATGCATGTACACAATACACTAACATCATTTCTAATCTGTCATGCCAGGCCTTGCCAGACTCTATCAGTGAAGGCAGAATGGAGATATTTTCAGATACTCAGAGTCTCAAAACATTTACCTCCTGGTACATTTGTCAGGAAGTTAAGGGATGGGGTAAACCACTACGGGGAATTCAGCCAATGCAGACTCCAGGAAACTGGTGCCCAATGCTTGAGAGAAATTCAGGAGATCCTTGTGGTAAAAAAGAAGGAAGATCTTAGCTTAAGACCCACCTTTCCTCCCTCTGAGAATAGTGGTGCAAGTCTGTAATCCCAGCACTCTGGAAGGCTGAGGCGGGAGAACTGCAACTTCCGATCCAGCCTGAGCAATTTAGCAATTTAGGGAGACCCTGTCTCAAAAAAAAAAAAAAAATGTTGGGGATATAGCTCATTGGGAAGCCTCTTGTGTTCAAGCACAACCTCTTCTGTTGATGGGGCTGAGGAGGTTGAAAAAAAAGGAAAATGGTAGATTATTAACAGTTAACTCTGGAAAATTGTACAGTGAGTTGTTTTATAGCAGTTGGTAGGTGTGGGAAGATTTAGCTATAAATTGAAATAAAAAATGAAACAATTGTTATTAACTCAGCAGTGAATAGTATTTACATGGTCATAATAATAAAAAGCTCAAATATGAATTTAAGTAGAAATGGTGGCATAACTCTAATGGGAAGATGGAGGGGGAAAGAGAAGTATGAATAGAGATGAAGTCCTCGTTCATCATAATAGGAAGTCAGGAGGTAACATCTAAAACAGATGACTCTAGAGCCAACGGAACTCACAAAATCATCTAAAAATCTGGAGGTAAACACTAGAATAAAGAGCCAAGAGAATTGAACGGTCTGCCTCTGAGAAACGGGATGAGTTTGTAGGGGATGATGGTACAGGGATAACTGCCTCATTTGTGAAGATTTTAAGTACTATTTGAGTATTATGCTTGAGCACTTTTAAACCATGTGCATGTATTACTTTAATACAAATAAGTGTTTACTTTAGAAATCGCATGTGGAAACCATCTAGTAGATGCTTGGCACATGGTGGGTGTCAAAAAATTCTTGTTGAATTGCATTGAGCTGCCACTGACACAGCTGGAGCCCAGAGCCCAAGCCCTCATCTCAGGCTGTCTGAGAATCATATTCTCTAAAGCCTTTGATTTTTTTTCCCTAAAAAATATTCTTGAGAGGAAACTTAGCTAAGGGCAAGCAAGCACCAATGCTCAATGCCTTTCTAGTACTCACATCCCTCCACTCTATTCTCTCCGGGAATTCCAGAGACATTTGTGGAATAGTGGGAAGAGGCACCCTGAGTGCAGCATTCTTGGGTCTGGGGGTGCTGTAAACCCCAAGTTCCTGTCCGTGTTCTTCCCAACTGTCCTCATTCCCACTTGGTCATTCAATAGGTATTCACTGAAAACTTATCCTTCGGCATACCCCAGGGGTAAAGTCGTATGCATTACCCACCTCCATTAATGTCTAAGCATGGCCATCTAATGATAATTACTATGGAAGGGGATGAGCTTATTCAAGGGACATTTATGGAGCTATGAGAGCACATACTAGGGACAGCAAACCCAGTTCACAGGGTCGTACAAGTGACATACTCTTGTGATCTGTTTTCGAGTCTGAAGCATCCCCCAGTCCCCTTCCTTGGACAACGCTCTTTGATAATCTTAAAAGTAGTGAAAGCCCACATGTGATTTAAGTGACCAAATTGAGGAGCAGCCTGTTTTAGTGGGTTCTAGAAACTCTTCATGAACTAGTATTTAGTAATCATTAAACACTTACAATAGAATGGGCATGGAGTTATATACATCACTTTCATTATCTAATGTTGCATTTTGAGATGTGTATTTTGGCTTAGGTAGAAACTAAGGTTCAGGGTGATTCAGTACTTTATTTAAGGTCAGACATTAAGGGATCTCAGCTCAGTGTTTTCAAATCCACTTTTCCTCCTGTTTCCCTGTTTCTAGTAACACAGCCTTATGTGAATGAACTTTGTTGAAACTTACATTGTAAGGTCAATGGTTAGTAAATTATCAGACAGCTAAGATTTCTAAATCATTTTCCAGTATCAAGCCACTGTCATAAGAAGTGAAAGACATGGGCTGAGAACTGGAGGGGAGTTGGGGGTGGATTCCTCCATAGGGAAAGAAAGGAGTTACCTAAAACAAAAAGTTGACTCTCGGTTGTGACACTCCTGTAGGACTTTAGATACTCCTCTACACCTCCCAGCTTTGGGAAGACATCCTTGATTCTGTGTGGTTTGTTCCTTGGAATGACGGGGTTTGACATTTGATGCCAACTATGTATTTCCCCATTTCTCCTTCGTAACAGAACCTCCCTTTCAGATTAATATGTGACTGCTTTTTTAAGAATATGTAACTTGGTTCTGGTAAAGGAGATGTAGGCAGAAATGCTGTGTGTGATTTCTGGAGGTATAAGATATATTATGAGGTTGGCAGAGCAATACCATGGAGGGAACTGAGCCTCTCAGAACATTTTGGATTGCACAGGTGTCAAATAAACCCTAGAATGCCTACTCCTGAGCATTGTTTGCAAGAGAGGCAGGAGAAGTTCTATTAAAAGCCATTGTTATTTTGTTTCTCTCACACATGGTCAATCCCACTCCTAATTGACAAATTAAAAATGAAGTGATGCCATTATTTAAGGGGACTTTCTTTCCACTACCAGATATTCTTGACATCAGGCAATATCTAGTCATTCATCCATTCTTTCACCCAGCCATCTTTCTATTTATTTACTCAATTACTTTGTGGACATTTATTGAACATTTTCTGTGCACCAGGCTTGCTAGGTGCTGAGTTATACAGACAGACAATCATATTTTCTGCCCTTACAAAGTTAAGTAGCTGAAAGAAAGAAGAATTTTCGACAAGGAAGGTTTTCCTTGCCACAACCAAATTGCCCAGACGTTACCAAAAGGAGAAGGTGAAAACAGGCTTGGTGGGGTCAGTCTCATAAATGAAACTTATTTAGTGTTGCTTTCCTTTACAAAGAGACAACTCTGGAGAATGCCAAAGTAACCTATATGTAATTTCCAGGATTGGGTCTTTCAAATAAATGGGGCCACATTCGTATGATCAGTCAGGACACAGGCAGACTTGACTTTATTTACTGTAACAGAATGATGTAAAATAAATAGCAGTTAACTATTGAGAAATTTAAGAGGCATAAAAAAAATCTCAGTGGTAAGGCAGAAGTAACAACTAACTGCAGGAGGCACCTGCCACACAGAAGAATAAGGTGGAATTACTAACATGTAGAAGGCAGGAGGAGCAACTTGGTGAGTTGGAACTCAGACATCTCAATGTGGGGATTAGAGCTGTTTGGCTAGTGTTGGTGTCTGGGCTTAGAGAAATGCTCTGTGGGGTAGGGATTCATACTTCTGAAGAGGAGCACTATGAAACTGGTCTTGAAAGTGTCTGGAAAAACAGCAAATTGGATGTAGCAACTGCTGTTGGAAAAAAAATTACCAGTGCACAGTTGATGCTGACCAGAATAGGAGCCAAAGAGGGATGAGCAGTCTCTCTTCCTCCTCTAACCCAAGTCTCCTCCTAGTGCCCTGTGTTGGCAGTGCCTAACAAGGAACCATCGGGCACAGTAGAGATGGTTTGTAGAGTTTCAGGATCATTAGGGATGGATTTGAAGCCAATAACAGGCCCAGTAACCGGCACACCTTCTGTTACAGACTGAATGTTTGTGATCTCCCAAAATTCAGAGGTTGAAATCATAACCCCAGGGAGGTGGAAGCATTTGGAGACAGGACCTCTGGGAGGTAATTAGGGTTGGATGGGGTCATGAGA